GTTGTTTAGCCTGGAGAAAAGGAGGCTCAGGGAGACCTTATCACTCTCCACAACTACCTGAAAGGAGGTTGTAGCGAGGTGGGTGTTGGTCTCTTCTCCTGGGTAACAAGTGATAGGACAAGAGGAAATGGCCTCAAGTTGTGCCAGGGGAGGTTTAGATTGGGTATTAGGAAAAATTTCTTCACCAAAAGGGTTGTCAAGCCTTGGAACAGGCTGCCCAGGGAAGTGGTGGAGTCCCCATCCCTGGAGGTATTTAAAAGACACGTAGATGTGGTGCTTAGGGACATGGTTTAGTGGTGGACTCAGCAGTGCTAGGTTAATGGTTGGACTTGATCTTAAAGGTCTTTTCCAACCTAAACAATTCTATGATTTTATTCTATGATTCTATGTTACTGTCTTCCTCATCACAAGGAAAGATGGGGCCATAAATGCTCAAACCCTTTTAACTCACAGTTGTGTTAACTTCCACCCAGTGAACATCACTTTGCAGGGCTGGCCTGTGCAGTGCAGTCACTGCTTTTACAATATATTCAGCTGCATGAGATGTGTTTTGCTGATCTCTGAGCATTTAACTGTACCTTTAGGTCTCTAACAGCAATCCTTTCTTGTTAGTTACTGTCCCACCAACAGCTGGCATCAGCTGTGTGTTCCACCAGGAAAGATTTTATATTATTGGCCAAATACAGGCTAGGTGTTGGCAGGAAGGCTTGGTAGACACAACTACACCTTGACATCTCCTGCTAACAGAAGCGTTGTGAGACCTGTGGCTTAGCAAGGTGTGATCCACCCAACATTTGCCTCGTTAGCACCATGCAAGGCAATTTTCGCATCACAACTGTCATGTGGTCCTCAATCAAATGCATTTGAGAAAGCCAAGCATGCTGTACTGACCCATCAGACCTCGTACTCTGCCACCCCTTCCCCTGACAGACTGCCCTTGGTGATCTTTGCAGCCTTCTTTGGTGCCTGAACTAAGCACCATGTGCATCCATGCACTGCTCTTGCAGAGGTGTTTTTGGAGGCAGTACCAGCTGAAATCTTGGGCATGGGCAAGGAGATGTTTGGTGCTTTTCTGCCCAGCAGGCAGGACATGTGGCACAGTGTCCATGCTGTTACCACCATGTCATGGGTACTCAGGTTGACCCGTCATATCCCATGCCATGACGAATTTTGGAGGAGACCCTGGTAGAGATGGGCTTGAAGCCATGGCACACCCTTTCCTCCTGAGGGGCATCTCTCTGGCACGGGGTTAGGGCCCTGTGGGTGAGGATCTGACCCTGCCGGCTCTCTACCCACTCCTGGCATCTGACCCTACTTGCAGATCCCTGAGATGGAGTAAAAGTGCTGTGAAGTGGATAAAAGCCTTTTAGAAACCAAGTGTCATAGGAAGCCACAGGTCTCTGCTGGGAGCCTGTCAGAGCCACAAAACC